CTGCTGCCAACGTCCCCTGAGTTAGGATCTTAGCACCCACTTAAAAGCTGGTCATGGTTGTGCATCACCTGTAACTCCAGCACCATTGGGGGTAGAGAAGGGAGGACGCCCAGGTCTTCTGTCCACCAGCCTAACTCCAGGTTCAGTAAAAGGCTGTCTTAAAGGAATAAGGCCAAAAGTGACAGAACAAGATGCTTGATAACCTCCCCTGTCCTTCATGAGTAGTTGCACAAGTATGCACACTCTCATGCACACACACATGCTCACTAAACACTACACATGCACTAAAACTGTTTAAATCACCTTCTAGTTATTATATAAGGTATATATGGAACATAAATGAGTTTAGTGGTTACACTTGGATCCCATCTCCAAGGTACTTCATTACATATTTGCAAATATTCCAGATTACAAAATCCAAAGCATTTCCCTACACATTTCCTGTAAGGAACACTCAAGCTGTATTCTTTTGCTATCTTCTCTCTGGTATCTCTGACTAGGCTAGGGTGATTGGTGTGAAGAAAAGCAAGGCAACTGAGTAATGACAGCTTTCTCCTCTCCTGTTATTAAAGGTTACTGTTCTACGACCCCCCCCCCACCTTAAACTTATTAGACTCTTTTTTTATTATTTCCTGATAACAGTGGAATATGACTTAATCTCATCAGTAAGTGGCAGGTGAAAGCATTATGCCAGCAGTGGAGTTAATAAAGGTTCGTCAGTGATTTTGAATTGATACCTACTAGGTTTTATCATCTGGGAAATAAAAGGACTATTTGATTTAGTGCAGTGTCCTTCAAAATACTGGTCATCATTATCACTTTAGAGGGGCCAAAAGGTTACTTAAAAAATGTAATGCATTGAAACCATAATGAAAATACCTGTGGATGCTGACTAGTTCTTTAGCAAGGCCTGGATACAACTTCAGAAATACCACAGCCAGTGTGATTAGTGATTTAAAAGAGAAAGCCCAAAGGGATCACATGAGTTTGTACTTCAGATGGAGCTACATGGCCATTACTTGTCACTTACTGTATCCAGTTTTGTATCCTGGTTTTTGTAACATGAGGCATAACCATTTATAGTTTATTTTATAATGGCATTCTTAGTCAGTTACATGAAGAGGAGGGGAGGGTTTCTCTTCAGTGTTTAAGTTAGCATAGACAGTAGTAGATTTAATTCTGGCATTGTCATACATGTATGCCATTATTGATTTTGGCAAACATATAAAGACTTTTGATTGACTTCTATTTGTAAACATTTAACATCACGCCGGGCAGTGGTGGCGCACGCCTTTAATCCCAGCACTCGGGAGGCAGAGCCAGGTGGAGCTCTGTGAGTTCGAGGCCAGCCTGGGCTACCTAGTGAGTTCCAGGAAAGGCGAAAAGCTACACAGAGAAACCCTGTCTCAAAAAACCAAAAAAAAAAAAACATTTAACATCACAACTATAGCAATTATTATTTGTAATACATTGTTTTGGTTCCCTCTTAGTACCATAGTAAATCCCTATGAGTTGGGTGATTGTAAGGACGTGTAGTACTGTATAGATTTGTAGGTTGGAAGAAGACATGGATCCCACTGAACAAAAATGATGGTGTTGTCAGAACCATATTCCTTTGTGGAGGTCCATTTCCTTGCTTTTTCTAGCATGAAAAGACTGCTCACATTCCTTTACTGAGGAAATTCTGTTTCCCAAAGGCAGCAGCAGCAACAGTAGCCGTGGATTGGCCCTTTGCCAATAGTCACACTTCAGTGAAGTCAGAAAAATTCTTCTATTTTAACAATTCATGTAATTTCACAGGATTTACCCAATAGTCTAAAATATTTCTATCTCGGATTTCTTAGGCTTAAGTCACATTTGAAAATCCATTTTGCACTGTACTGTAAAACAGCATAGTCACTGGTTCTGGGGATTAACCTGAAGGCGGTTTTGAGTGACTATTTTTCTACTTTGACTTCAAGTTAATTGTTTTCATATAAAAATAAGTCTGTGTATTTTTTAAAGTTGAATAAGAGAAAATCAGTAAATAAAATGTGTATGAATATGGCAAAAAAGTTGCACCAGTGTCAGTAACATTGGGTAGCATTTCATCTGCAAGAGGGCCCACTCTCTGCAAGTAGGAATCTGGAAGAGGTCAGGGAGTGTGAAGCTGCAGCAGTTCCATCCAGAATTTGGCCACAGTTGTTCAGCTTCTTCATCCTAAAGAAAAGGTTGAATCTCCAAAGGTCCCTCCCCCTCTGTTTAACTAATTCTGTGTAAGGGGATGTTTATTTCATGAATCTCCATGTCAGGGCCAAGTACTGTGTCATATGTTTCTAACATGAATGATTCAAAGCACTGGTTCTGTCTGAAGATGCTGTCACCCCAGAGTATAGCTGTCATCCGGCATGCCGGCCCTTAGCTGCTGTAGTTCTGTCAGAGTTGGAATCCAGTTTGATTTTTCTATTTGGTTGGTTGGTTAAAATTAAAAAATAGGTTAGAAAACTAAATTCCAGGTCTTTTGCTAGGCAGAGCACTCTACAGAGGAGCTGTATCGCTGCCTTTTCTAAAGTGGCATTTTGAAATATTGAGTGCTTGTTGTCAGTTGTCCTCATTTCCTGAATTCAGCCAGACGGGAAGTTCTGGAAAGGTAGAGGGTACTCAGCTGGTGAAAGAACCCACACACCACATCCATTCAGTGCTTAAAAGGAATGCTAGCTAATCTTTAACACATTCTTCAAGTGCATACCTCTGTTAAATTGATTTTTCTTAAGGGATAAACACCTATACTTGAGGTAATAGATTCTTTCAATTTTAATAATTTTCAGTTGACCTTTTGTTCTTTTAATGAAAATTAAATGAATTTAATGAAAACCACATACTGAACAGGTTTTCTGTAATTCCTTTCTTCAGTAAGAAAAATTGCAAATTTCCATATTCTCTAAAATAACATATAATTTGTATTTATTCCTGAACTGTAATGTCAGAATGTGAAGACTCCATTTTCCTGATTACCTCATCCATACCAAGAATCTAAAAACGGCCCCACTTGCTCTCCCCCAGTCTTTCTCCTTTTGCATTGTTCCAATTACAGGTGGATGCTTGGTATCGCCCCATAGCACAAGATAAATAAGCTTGGAAGGTTTCCTAGCAACACATTGCTCTGGGAACCTGTTCTGTTTCCCCAAAGAAGATGAAGCCAAGCATCACAGAGTCTCAGCCAGATGGGAAGGATTCACTTACTGAGGGTGCTGAGTGCATTTAAATAATAATTATTTTATATATATATATATATGTATATGTATATATATATATATGAAAGTGTTAAATACCTTTTTTTCACATTGAAATGAGCTTGAGTTTTACATGTCAAAAGAATCTTAGTTAATAGTTTGAAGATTTTCAGGGAATAAGCTTGCTATAAGTTATTGATGAATAGATCCACTGCAGAACTATCTATAAAATACTTCCACATGGGACTGATGCTCAGCCTAAGTCCTGGTGGTATAGCAGTCCAGTGACAAAAACACTGAAATATTCTGGTCCCCTGGGAATGCTAGGGGACTCCATTCCCTTTCCCAGTACCCTTAGCGCCCTCCTCCCCTTGGATGTAGGTCATAGGTATATGTAAGCACCACTAGAAAGAAAAAAAGAAATTATATAGTTTTTATTATACAACAATGAAAGTGGACTTGATCATTCTCATAGAACAGAATAGATTCCTATACATTAATTTTTACTGAATATTTTTTATTAAAAATTTCTACAGACCAGGCAGCATTTTTGATAAATTATCTGTTTCATCATTTAATTCTCCTAGAATTTACCAGGTAGAAACTTATTTGCAATTTTGTAAGTAAAGAAACTGTGCTGGGCAGCTAAGTGTCTAGTTGTTGAAATATTACCATTCATAGATCGTGGTCATTCAAACACTAGTTTCTTTACTGAGAGTTCTGTAGCCCATATCCTGTGTTTATTCTTAGAATTCTAATATTGAAAAATTATGGTCTTTAGAGAAAAATGAACAACTATCTTTTTTGTTTTGTTTTGTTTTGTTTTGTTTTGTTTTGTTTTGTTTTGTTTTGTAACAGGCTCTCACTTGTAGCCTGGCTAGCCTGGAACTTGCTGTGGTAGACCAAGCCATCCTCCGAGTCACAGAGTTCTACCTGCCTCTGCTTCCTGAGTGTGCCTCCACGCCCAGTTTAACAGCTGTCTTTTGAAGATGGCATAATCTTAGCAGGAAATAGATGATTTGTTCCATTTTTATTGTTTTATTCAGCATAATCATTTCACATCCTCAGGTTTCAGTGTCAGACTTTACAGACTTTTTGCTTTATGATATTGCTATTTATTTATTTATTTATTTATTTATTTATTTATTTATTTATTTATTTATTTATTTATTTATTTATTTATTTATTTGAGACAGGGTTTTGCTGTAGCATTGGAACCTGTCCTGGAACTCTCTCTATAGACCAGGCTGGCCTCAAACTCACAGAGATCCTCCTGCCTCTGCCTCCCCTGTGCTGGGGTTAAAGGCATGTGCCACCACTGCCTGGCTTAATTTTATATTTTTATAAAAAAAAGAAATGTTCACTTTTCAATATAATAGAGTAAATTATACCTAACAATAACTAAAATTAATAATATTAAATTTATTCACAAACTATGTTGTGACATCGGAAATGTGGTAGATCAGGAACAAACTGATTATTTTTATAATATTGGAACAGAGCCATGCACATTTGCTTATCTACTGCCCATGGCACCTTTTGTCACAGTAGAGTTGAATGGTTATAACATCAGTGTTATGGCTTACAAAGTCTTCAGTGTACACTACCCTCTCCTTCACAGGAAAAGTCTACTAGACTCTATTCTAGAATCTGATTTTTACCCCACCTTTGAGTTGGAAATGTTGCTTTAGAATACCAGCAATATAATTGCAAAACATTTTAAAAGTGGTGGTTTTTTTTTAACAATATAAGGTTCTTATCTAACATGTTGTTCTCCAAACACTGCAGGTACCAACCAAAAAGCTGAAGAAATATGAAAAAGAATATCAGGCAATGCGGGAGAATCAGCTGCAACAGGAAGACCCAATGGATAGATACAAGGTATGAGAGACACTTGCTTGGCACTTAACAGGGCAGAAAGGACTTTATGTACCCTAATTCAGCAGTTGTGGTGAGTTCTGTTCCCTCTGCTCCACCCTGAACTATTCAGTTAGTGACATGCTGACTATGCCTGTGTCTTCATTTTCAACTGACTCCCAAGTATTCAACCATAATATTTCTTTTCTTTCAGTTTGTATATTTATAGGTAACTCCAGCTGTTGCATGTATACTGGGAATCTTCATGAGAAGCTGAGAGAAAGGGAAAAAGAAAGTGGCTTTCTGCTTTCAAAAATGAGGAAAATAAAACAGAAAATGCCAAAAAAGTACTGTCTTAGCTGTGCATGATCACTTCCACAGAGACTCTTAGATGTGACCATTCCAAGACTGACTCAAGGATGTTGCAAACTTGTCCCTGTCTGTAGCAGATGTTCAAAATCCAAACTCAGAAGGAAAAATAAAAACCACAAAAATATATCAAGCACAGTAATGTGTTTGTTGCAATGTTTCATTTTCACAAATCATAGGTAACATGACATTTGCATGCAGTTTCAGAATCAAAATTATTTCATTTGTATCTTCATTAGTTTGGTTATTTAAAAAATTGTGTCATCACAAAGATAGATCTTTTTAGTGGCAATTAACAGCATTGGCTACAGCATGCAGTGTTGGGAAACAGTGATTTGCAATTTATTTTTTAACCTTCTGAAATGTATTGTCTTCCTTTAGCTGTTTTAATTCTTGAGACTCATACAGATATATCAAAGTTCCTCTCGATACATCAATATCCAACTGATGCCTAAATACCATTCCAAAAAAAAAGTATGGTGGCAATCTTAATGGAACCGTTCACACTGAGATTGTTTTTATTTCAATAACCAGAGCTGCCTTTGTGGTTGGAAAAGTGTATGTTGGCAGCAGTCACACTGTTGACTGAATAGAACAGCAAGAAATACTCACAGAGGAACATGGTGGACAGGGTCTATGGGTTTCATAGTCAAACCAACTTGAGTTAAAATCCTGGCTCACTGGAAAAGGCAACAGGATTTGAAACCATAGATGAGGATTTTGATCCCTATGTTACTGGTCAGCATTTTGAGTCAGTCATTAACCCTTTCCTTGTTTGTAAAATTCATGGGCATGCATGATTTTGTGGTGGATTACTGTGAGATTGAAGGATGTCATATGTTAAGTACTCAGAGCATAATTGGTGTTTAATAAATGGTTATTGGTTTTTAAACGCCACTACCATAAGCATGACTAGAATAATATAACCTTGCTTGGCTCTGCCTCTCCAGTCCTTCACTGATCATCTTCATATTTTGTGTAACTATTACTACCCTATAGTCTTATCAGTCATACGTCTTCCTTTCCTCTAGAACTGACTTGAGAAATAAAAATAATTCCACATATGGTTATGATAGATAACAATGATCAGATTATATGCTCTTAGAGAAAGTTTGATGACTATCCACTATTATCTTCTCAGTAAATCCAGTTTTAATGCCAGACCTATGATACAGAAAGGCTTGAATGGACTCATGATGAACTGTTAAAGATCAAATGAAAGCCCTTTAATTGTTTGATCATTCATATCTTCAGAATATTATGAATAAAGTGATATCAGATAAAAGAGAAGGAAATAATGGCTCAAACTTACATAATTACAGTCAAAAGCTGAGCACAGTTGTATGCACATATATAGCTCTCTGTGACAAGAGGATCATTCAGGTCCAGGAGTTTGAAACCAGCAGCATAGTGAGACCCCATCTAAAAACACAAACTAAAACAACAAATGCCTCACTGAACCCAAAGAGGCTGTAAAACAGCTCAACTGTAACAGTGTCTTACATCCTTTTTGTCAAAGCAGATGTGTATAAACATCATGTATAAACTGTAAGATTATTTGTACAGTTTTATTGATATAAAATCAACTGTTTTAAAAGTAGATATTTTAGATTCAAGTACTGTGGGGCTTGGTTTTTTTGTTTGGTTGGTTGGTTTTACTTTGAGAGACTCTTACTGTGTATTCCAGGCTGATCTTCATCCCATTGTAGCCTTTTATTTGAACATGTCACACACCCTCTATCACTATTTCTTTGTTATGATTTTAGTGGCTTTCTAGTATATTGTGTAATCAATATTTCTATACCTTTTTAATAATGTTTAGGTATCAGTCCCAATGATCTGCTTGGTGAAATTATAATTAAGTTGTAATTATATTTCAAGCTAGTAATTGCCAACTATTTTAGTTCTAGCTATCAACAGATTTGGTCCTTGAGGTACACAAAAATCTGGTTTAAGAATTAAATTAAGGTCAGCTGGAGAGATGACTCTTCCAGGTAAAACCTCCTGTTTCCAAGCCTGATGGCCTGATTGAATTTCCTGGACCCACAGGTTGAGGAGAAAACTGACTCCCTAACTTTGTCCTCTGATCTTTACACTCATACTGTGGCATATGTGTTCCTACACATATAACACACAGATAAGTAACAGCTTGGTATAGTGGTTCATGCCTTTGATCTCAGTACTCCTGTGACAGAGGTAAGTGGATCTCCAAGTTCAAGGCCAGTCTTGTCTACAGAGCAAGTTCCAGGACAGCCAGGGCTACACAGAGAAACCTTGTCTCCAAAAAATGGAAAAAGAAAGGAAGAAAGAAAGAAAGAAAGAAAGAAGGAAGGAAGGAAGGAAGGAAGGAAGGAAGGAAAGAAGGAAGGAAATAAATACATTTAAGGAAATAAATTGTAATTATCTTAATATAACAAAGTATCTTAAAAATACATTTGGCATCTTCTGATCTCTTTGGGGGAACAGGCACTTTTCATTATTAGGGAAGATCTTGAAAACATTGAGAACTCACACCTGTTCAGGAACAATTTCTCCTTCACCATTGGAACCCATCTTGCATAAATTGCCATGTCAACCTCCAGCTTGCCATATGGCAAGAGAGTTGGAAAGACTGAGTTTTTAAAAACAAAAACAAAACCCAGAAATGTCATACCATAAACTGTTCCAATTTAGTGCTATTATTTCTCCCATACTTGATGGCACTGAAAAAGGGCTTTTGCATAAGTGAGAGCTGGCAAATGTTGCTCTTTACAGTCACACTTTTTGCTGTACCAATCTAAACATGTGGCCTAGGGGTATACCTCAAGGGTAAAGCACTTGCCTAGCACGTGTGAGCCCATTGGTTCAATGAACAGTTGCATCCCCCTTCATGCCCTCCCATCTAACTGTGCTCTTTGTGCCTATTATATTGTCAGTTTATATTACTGGATTAATTACATGCTACACCTCAGTCCCAACCATGAATAAAGAGAAGGAATGGTGTTGGTATAATTTTAAAGTTATAAGCATGATGAAATGTTGAGCAATTCGGTAGTGGTGATGGCTATACAGTTTCATGTAACTGAATTGTATACTAAAGCATCGTTTTGTTACATGTGATGATGAACAGCTGCAGTCCCAGAACAGAAGAGGCTGAGGCAGAGAGAGGGTCAAGAGTCTGAAGCCAGTTTACACTACATAGTGAGACCATAGCTCAACAATCCCTTTTCAAAAAGCACATAATTTTATGGTGTGCAAATTAAATCTATACCCTCATCCAAGACAAATGTTCCAGAATATTGACTTTTAGACTACCCTCTTTCTTTTCTACTTTCTCTTTTTTCTTTATTTTTGGTATGTGTGTGTATGTGTGCATATGCATATGCAAGTGCATATACAAGTATGTGCAAATGGGCATGGAGGCTAAATGTCAGTGTCCAGTGTCTTCCTCAGTTATTCTCGGCCTTATTTTTTGAGATGGGATTTCTCACAGAACCTGAAGCTCACTAATTTGGGTACTCAATGAGCTCACACACAGCTACACTGTTTGTTTGTTTGTTTGTTTGTTGCTTTCTTGTTTGCCTTTAATGTGGGTGCTAAAGACCTAAGTTCAGGTCTTAATGCTTGCATGACAAGCACTTTACCAACTAAGTCCTTTCCCCAACTACTGTATTTTCTGTGAGATAGTGTTTCCCATGTCCTAGGCTGGACTTGAACTCACTGTGTAGTTCAAGCTGAAGATGACTGTCAAAGTTCTGAGCCTCTTGCCTCTACTTCCTGAGTGCTGAGATTACAGGTAAAAGCCACCATTCCTTGTTCATGTGATGCTTCGAACTGGACTTTGAGCCCAGGACTTCTTGCACACTAGGCAAACATTCTACGAATCAGCTACATCCCCAATTCACCCACCATTTCTTCTGTGAGCCCCAAGTTGCTTCTGTCAAAAGAGAGTACTTATATAGATGTCATACTTGTGCAGAGGAGATCTTTTGTCAAAATTTGAGCTAATTAATGACTGTTGAACAATATAAATGGTGCATTCATTTTTAGTGTTGCTCAGTAATTTCTAAGTAGGATATGTGGTGTTCCTATCCATATATTTACACATAGAGTAATAAGCACAAACATTCACACTACCTAATCTGGCATCAAATTTGTATTGAGACCCAGGGAACCCTCAAAAAACTGCTTACAGCCTTTATTGGTGCCTTTCTGTTTAACTCCATAAGACTCCAAAAGAGAAAGATTTTTTTTTTCTTGAGAGTAAATATACAGCATTAATTCTAAACCTCTTTTTTCCTGCTTCTTAACCTGATTAAATAATGTGATGTTTGTTTATATATTCTGACCTTTTGATTTGTAAATTTGATTGAGTTCAAATGGAGAAAATGTGAGTTATGGATATGGCTAATGATGTCCCCAGAAAATACACATTTATAGATAGATATATCTTGTTTTAAAACATTTTAAAATTAGTAATCAAACCCACCAAACAGATAACAATGTTAGAAAGCAAGATTCTTTATCCCACACGGAGGGCTGGTTGCTTTCATTGTGGGGAAAGAATTTCAGTAATAGAGTCAACTGGTGAAGCTTCTAGAGAACTACAGCCATCATCCACCTTTAAGGAAAAAAGATACACTTTTTCTTGTTTAATTAAGAGCTGCTGATAGCAA